TCCCTTTATCATCTCTGTATTCTACTTAATAGCACAAGTATATAGGCAGCCACAAGTAAGAATGTTCAGTAGCACGGAGATCACAGACAACATTAGTGACAAGTTCATTTGGGCACAGCTTTCAGATTTCAGTTTCTCTTTAAGGTAAAAAATGCAATAAATATCTCACAATATATGCTGAAAAATACTCTACCTTCTAAAACTGAAGATTTTGTAAAACAGACAGCGCCATGTCCTCGTGTAATACAGTTTATTAATCAATGAACATACAAGCGGACATAAAATACTACTCGCATGGTAATCACTGAATGAATGGTACAAGGCAGACCCCACACAAAGCTGCCTTGCTAGCTGATGCGTTTCAGGGAATAAAACTCCTTCCTTATAGCCCTGAAATGTGTCAGTTAGCAGGGCAGCTTTGTGTGGGGTCTGCCTTGTACCATTAATTCAGTAACTACCATGCGAGTAGTATTTTATGTCAGCTTGTATGTTCATTGATTAATAAACTGTATTACACGAGGACAAGACACTGTCTGTCTGTTTGTTTTGCGAGGAATACTTCCCAGTGGCCTTTTGATGACGGCCGCCTGCAAATGATTGTTGGTGGAGAATATCATTGGGAGTCTGCTGAGCGCTGGTTGTCCATTTTTCTGGAACACTGAAGATTGTGTAATCTAAAAAGAGGTTAGCAGTTAGCAGAAGAGACAGCCAGCTTCCCATGACTGAGTGGAGAAAGATGGGGGCATGGCATCTGGGCGAAGCCTGGCCTGTGCCAGCAGAGCAATAGCTCCCAGTAGGACAAAGAAAGTTTTACTGTGTGGGTGAGTGTGGTTTTTTTTTCCAAGAGAGCCCATAGTCACAGGTAAGAGGAAATAAAGGAAAATGGAGAAATGAAGCATCTCTAACTAAACGTTTTAAAAATGAACCTGCATGTGTTGACATTGCGAAAAAGTCTGCAATTGGCTAGGCCTACACAAATCACTTCTCTATATTCAGAATCACATCATCCCAATAAATAGGAAAATATTTTGCTCCATATTACACTTGGACTTATATGAATACTGTCTCTTTGCAGAAATGAAAAAAGATTTTAAGTCAGGGCTGGAAAAAGCTCGGGAGCCAATGCACCCTTAAACATTACAGTTGGTGCCTAACTTTTGGGTTCTAGTTGTTATCAATGGAGCAGATCCCTAAAAATACCCTGCTACCTCCTGGATTGGGTATCCTGGCTCCTGAATTTCATAATTTGTCCACCCCTGTTTTAAAGTAGTATCCACCATGTTACTGCTTGCTGTAGTCTAGATGAGAAGATTTTCCTGTGTTTAAAGCAGAACTCGGGGCAATTCTTTTTCCCAACCCTTACAGTGGGGTAATTCTTGGAGCCTCTCTCCCCATCTACCGCAGCAGTCCAAGGTCCTGTGAGTCAGCACATAAAACTGTATAAGACATGAGGATGCCGAGGGACATAGCATTACTGGAGCAGAGGAGGAGACAGGCTTCAGGGACTGGATTAGCAGCCAGCCGGCTTCATGTTTCGGGCAAGTATAACTTTTAGCACCTAGACAAAAATGAGCACCTAAACCTTGCAGGACACGGTTTAGCCTCACTGCAAGGGTTAAGAAAAAGAATTGCCAAGAGTTCTGCTTTTATTTGTTCTACATTGTATCGCTATCTTCAAGAAACATTTTACCACACAAACAGCTTTACTCCTAAGAAGCCAGAAACATGGTTCAATTCATTGTTATTCAGGATTGCAATGTTTAAATATCACAAGCACTAGGGAGATTTTTTAAATGGTACTGCCTGGCACAGTACAGTTATCCCAGGCATTCCAGGGAAGGGAATGCTTTCTTGGAAAGAAATCCCCTCTGATTGAATAGCTGTCTTTATAACATGGTGTCCTATACACAGCACGCCTTAACACCCTCAGCAGAATGAAAAATGCCAAACACATGTTTAGATGTATTCATAGAAACCGAACCAACAATCAATGATAACCATCAAGGAAGGTGGCTCAGCTGCATTTTGCAGATCTGTCTCAGTGATGTCTATGTACCATCATACGACATGTTTAATATACACAAAGAGAAGAATGTGTCTTTCCTGCAATATTTTAAATGTTCATGGGCAGATCCGATTTTTCAGGTAGCAGTTAAAAAAGCCCGGTGTATGATATGTTCTTGACATCACCACCTTTTGAGGTGATCTGAAGACTAACCCTTTTGCTGCCAGTGCTTGTTTCATTTTTGCACGTTAAACACGCCTTTGACAATGTAAATGACATAAAACTAACAAAACAAAATGTTTCTGAAAAGACACAAACATGTACAATTTATAGATGGTAGCTAAAAAATGTTATGTTGCACAATATCTGGCCAATTGTTTTTTAACCCTATATTTTCATTAAAAATAAACTAAAATAGAATTCTGGGGAGAATGGAATACACTTAATCCTCATAATAAGACCCTACATGTGACACTGCAGCAGTCACACGTCGGCACTATAGATCGAGAACTGAACGATCACATGCCACTGATGGTCACTCAGTTTCCAGTCTTCTCTCTACAGAGAGTAGTGACGATCATAGTGAATGTCCTCTTGTGACCCTAAAGAGAACTATGGCCAAAAAACGATAAGGCCATAATTCTCTTTTAATTGTCATACCCACAAACACAGCATACCTTTCATCTTTTTGTAAAATGTAAACAAGACTGCAACAAGTAAATAGATAACAAATATGTCAAGCCTTAAAATTGTGTGTGCCGGTAATCTAACAAAAAATTACAATGCTTAAAGATTCCATGATCACCCTCTGCTTTACTTAACGTGCAACCTAGGTGTACATGAGCCCCTAAAGATTCTCTTTAATAAAATATACTGGGTCTATTAGACCTCTGATGTCTCTCCTGCCCTCTGCTCTAGGGGATAGAGCAAAAAAAACTGTGCTCACTCTGCTTCTTTCCATGGCTGCTGGGGATTGACAGCTTTGATCCCCAAAATGCCCAATTCCCTCCACAAAGAGTGGATTAGTGAATAGATTCTCACCGATCCTCCTGCCTCTATGCTGAGCAATTTGCGCCAGTCCTAACTGCTGGAGAACTCCAGGACCGCACAGTGCAGCCCTACAGAAGTGATGACAGCTTTGGAACCACCTAGAACATGTCTACAGTAAAGGCAGGAGACTGTTGTTCAATTATAAACAAGTTTGTTTTAACGCTTTCAAATGGGACACATCACTGGCAGTGAAAGAGTAAAAACTATATATACAGAAAAGTAGAAACCTTCACATTTGGTCCTATGTGTATGCTGCCAAATCTGCAAAAACAAAAAATTCTTCCCAACACCTGAGCAAGCAGTGAATCTGCTGGTATGTGGTCAGTTCACATATAAAAAGGTAATCCTATCATTTTATTGGGAAACAAGGCAGGCCCACAAAATTAACTAATAGACACAAACCAGGAGCAGTCACCTAAGGCACTGGTTTATCGCTAAAAAGTCTTCACAGGACAATTGATAATGAGGCAATATAGGAAGCTAGTCACAAATACTGATGCACTGATTAAGTGTATATAAAAGCCAGGGGGGGGGCAGGGAATAGGGTAGGCATGGGTTATAATACCCGTCATGTTTTTTTGCCGTTCATGTTCCCACTAGAACAGGTCTCCATTTGTCCAGTTGTCACCAAAACAAAGGGAAAGGGAATTTTCCACCGAGGATATAACTCTCAAAGGAGGGGAATCCCCCTTACTTCAGGAAGATTTCTCGTCACATCTTTGTGTGTGTCTGGGAAAGAAAATAAAGGGAAGTCTCCCTAAAGTGTAACAGACTGCTAAGAAAAAACATTAACACTGATGCCCATGTCATTCAAAATAGTAACCCAGCACACTAGTACATGCCAAGGGACCAACAATGTGGCACTGTGCTGTGTTAAAAGAAAAGGCGCCGGTCCTGTTTTTCCCCCCCATTGCTATGGATTGGCTTCCCATTCTAAATAAATGTTCTCTCTTAATTCAATGCACCACAGCAGAACAGTATACAGGCAGTCCCCGAGTTACATACAACTCCTACTTACAAACGGAAGCTCGGAGGCTATTACTGTACAGCAGGGGTAGTTGTAATGCTACTACGCTCATGCCAACGAGGAGTGCCCGCCTTTTTGGGTCTGTTGTGTAGTACTGTACGTACATTACAGGAAGTTGGCTCTGGTTAGACGTGCAGACGAGAGGTGCCCACCTCTTCTTCTGGGTCACCGTGAGGTTTTTACTGCTGTCTGTACCCTCATTAGAAAGATTTAATCTCACCTACTGTTCTTGAGACAACAGGAAGTGAAGGGAAATCTACCCCTGGGAAGGGGAAATTCACTGCTGTAAGAATTATCATGGGAAAAAGGTGTCTCCGCTGAAGATTTATCACCAATCCTTGTTTCCACGACAAACCAACATTTTTAAAATCCAATTGTCACAGGGACAAAAAGTGAGGCGAAATCTTCTGAACAGGGGCACACACAGCAAAACAAACTTTACAGGGAGTTAACCCTTCCCTATGCTATCCAAAACAAGAAACATTTACCTGTTCCAACTTGCATACAAATTCAACTGAAGAATAAACCTACAGTCCCTATCTTGTTCGTAACCCGGGGACAGCCTGTAGTGTGAAGGAAGCCTCAATGGCAACTCAGACTGGGCAGGCTGAACATATGCAATGAAGGTGGAAAACCAACTGGGGCACACTACGAGTGATGTAAAACTGCAACGAAGAAGGAAAATTAAAATAAATTGAACCCAGCAAAGCAACAGACTTAAAAATTCATAGATAATACTGACAGGAGCCCCATGAAACCTGCAGGAACTTTGCTGGAAAATGTTTGTGGATCCGATCTAAAGTCTATGAAAAAAGTGGAACTACTAAGCAAAAATCGCATGAAGCTAATGGTGGCAAATCTTTAAAGTAATAAACAGAAGGACTGGACACAAAATAAACGTAAGACGATGACACTTACCACGGCTGATGCGTTGCTTCTCCCCAGACAATATGCCTGGTGTGTCTATGATGCTGATGCTCTCCAGGACGGGATTAGGTAGTTGTGCACACATGAACCTAGTAACATTAAAGAAGAAATGTTGAGACACTTTCAAATATTGATAATATATCAAAATAAGCCTCATGAATATGGTGATATAGTCATCTAAACACTATTAGCACACAGCGTAATGAACAAGACAAAAGGAGTAATTGACAATACATACTGTGTAAAGCTGGCCATACACTAAGCTCATTTCATCCAGTTCTTGATGACGAGTCTGAAATTCGCTCACTGGGTGTCCCCGTCTGCCAACTCCCGCCCAATATAATTGTCAGCTGAACAGTGCTTGCATCCAATCAGACGCAGAGCCGACTGTCAGAGTACAATAGCCGCAGCGCGAGATTTCTCCACTCATGCTGTTTAGTGTGGATTGTTGAATTTGTTGCTTATAAACCTTAACTACATTACCTGACCATCCAGTCAGGAAGATATAAAAGTAATTTTTTAAAATTTAAGATGCATGCGTGTGGGGGAGAAGGGGGAGCTGGCTGGCAATGAAGGGGGGTCCGGTTAAAGTGCAGGGGGTGCACTAAGCAGTGGTTACAGAGATGCAGCCAGCCAGGATGCTGAAGAGCGTGCTCCCTCCCTGCACAGAAGCCACCCATTTCCCTGCTCGCACTGCTGGATATACTGACAGAAGGGGGTAACACCACAAGACATCACAGCTCACTGTTACCACTTCAACACTAGCTACACAGTAGAAAGCAGCATTTTACTGTGCAGCTAGTGTGAATATGCCCTAAAGCAGGGCTAGACAAACGCTAGCCCTCCAGCTGTGGTGAAACTACAAAGTCCATCATGTACCTGCCCATTGGAGTCATGCCTGCGGCTGTCAGTCTTGTAGTGCATCATGGGAGTTGTAGTTGCACCACAGATGGAAGTTGAACATTTGCCTACCCCTGCTCTAAACCTTTGGCTTGAATGCTTAGTAAGAGCAAGTTTAGGGATGTTGAATTCTGATTTGGGTTTCTCTGGCTTTCATTCAAAGCATATTGAAGCCAGACACAGGCAGCCAACTAGCGTTATGAGAAGGAGTTCCTATCGTACACAATTAGCCATTGATGACCCAAGATTGGAAGCTACAGTATATACTACTACTGCTACTTTGTGCCTTAAATTGTGCACATAGATTAGGTTACACCTCTTCATGTGCGTACATACGTGCTGCATGTCGCGGGCCTTGGACTACTGCACTGCAGAAAAACGTCCGCTATGTGCGATTAAACAAAATGACAGGTGCTCGTTCCAGTCTGCTCAACTGCACAAGACATTTAGACAGATGAACCCCAAAACCGCCGCACTGGTTTTCACCTGTTGTTCACTTCAATACTAGGAGAACACAAAAACATGCTGTGACTACTCAACTGGAAACTGAAAGCATTTAAGTGAATTTCAACCTATGTACCCGGCCGAAGTTCGCACAGTGTGTGGTACTGTCGGCACCCTCTCGATCGGCATCCCTCAATCAGCTGATCGAAGGAGCCGGTCAGAAAATCTTCGTTCGTTAGAGCTGGCAGCCAATGAGCTGCCCATTCTGATCGGGTATTCCGGCACCTGTCAGAATACAATGTAAACAGCGGGGATTCCTCAATCAATACGCTGTTAGTGTGGATGGAGGAATCGGGTGTATTTTTTCGCTCAACACACAGGTTGAACAGATAAAAAAAAATAAGATCCGTGTATGGCCAGCCTTAGTCTACAGGCCGTTAGATGTAAAAGGATTTGTGTCAGTTTACATCCGAACACCTTCAAGTCTTTCTAGGTCCGAATAAATTAAAAAAAGAACAAAAGAAAAAACAACTTGCATGCGACAGATGGAAGGTATAAGATGTAAACGGACATCCATCCATCTGCCTATAGACCTCACATGGGTCCATTTAGTATGTTTTTTAACTCCCATCGCAAAAGTGGCATTTATTCTGTACTGGTCTGTGCGCGGATCCTCGGATGATTGGGGCGGACGGGTGCCTGTGTGAACAGGGTCATATGTAGAATTACACACTTCAAATATGGGAACCAACTCTATTGACAACAACTAGAGAAAACCTCAAAAGCTAGCAGCAAGCTAACGCGCATGGGTGTAATATCTATCTATCTATACGGTATATATACACACACACACACACACACACACACACACACACACACACACGGCTGGGTAAAACGAGGGTCTGAGGTCATTCTTTTTTTTTGTACACCTTGCAATATGGGATGGGCAATGGGGTGCTAAAATACAATGTGTCATTGCTGCAGACAGAAGGTCCACTTTAAAGGAAATCAATATATTCTTTTGATAGAAATAGCTACAATTTGGTCTTTAAGATGGGGTGTGCTTCAACAGTCATTATTGGCCCTCATCCCTACTGGTGATTCACACATATTTCTCTAGGGTGGGAGCAGAAAAAGAAAAATCATCCGAGGGCAAGGGAAAAGTAGAGGCCAGAGCATGGGGTATTCTGCAAGAAACAAGTTGAACTGTTAAGAAGCAAATCTCTACCTTCCTTCCAGCTTTGCGTTTTCACATTTAGCAAAACAAATTACAGCGTTTAAGATGTGGCTCTATGCAGATGAAAAAAAAAGCTCATTGCAACTTCCCACAAGTCTATGTTGGCACAGTAACAGCGGTCTGTTATCACAAGAGGAGGATAAGAACTCAATTACTACAACAGAGATGTCAGAGGGGTGTTACATTTACCACCTCAGTTATGTAACTAACATGACATAATGAAAACCAGTCAAAAGTGGGCTTATATAAATAACCTAAGACAACCAGTCATGATTGTGCTAATGTTAGAATCTGCATATACAGTCTTTATTGGGCAAGCTTACCTATAAAATAATTGTTAGATTTGCCTCTTATTTCGCTCAGACACTGGGAGGCGTTACCTAAAGTTAGGCAGTTGCAGCTCTGTAACCCACCTGACGTCATGTTGATAACATGTCATTTTCTACGTGTGATTACAGCACACAGCCCTAAAGTCAGGGGAAAGTGAAGTGCATTGCAAGTCGTTTGCATGTGGTTGCAGCACATCCCATTGACTGCAATGGTCATGCCTGGCAAATGAGACATTCTGTATAAAATATGCCTTGGCATGTGGGCATACCTGAGAATGCGGACAGAGCTCTGTGTTTAATATCGTATTGGATACTTGGGAGCTGGAAGACAGCGTGTGCTCTCAGGGCTAGTTCAGGCAGTCGGCAGGGCAGCAAATGTCAGACCTCAAGGGGTCTCTCAGCTCAGACACGTCACTCATTCGGAGACAAACATAAAATCATATGTAGGCCTGTAAAGTCCAACACAAGGAGGTGAAGTGGAGAGGGATTAGTCAGGTTTTTATTGCCGTCTGTGTCCCTATTAGGGACATTCACCCTCTCCATTTGTCCTGGTGACCCCCATCACTGAAAGCGTAAGAAAACCCCAAATTTTGGGTTGTCATAAGAACAGGAATAGATAGGAAATGGCGATACTATTTCTGGTGACCACCATGGTTTTCCTTCTCTTTGGGGGGGGATTTCCTCGCACATCCTGTTGTGGCTATTGGACAGGAAGTGGACAGGAAGTAGAGGGAAATCTCCCCAATGGGACACCTGACAGGGATTATCGGCCGAAACATGGCTCTTTTGGCATTATGCCAAAAGTGCCATTTTCGGCCGATATGTTTCGGTGGCCGATATATCGGTGCATCCCTAATTATAACCCTCCCTTACTCTATCCAAAAGTTAAAAACGTTTTGGCTCCAGTTGTACTTGAAGGCTCCATTTACAAGAGTGGTCTTATGCGCATATTCGGCTGCACGAATACACGCAGAACCACACTAAACATCAAAAACAATCCATTGCAATGTGCATTGTTCAGACAATTGCAGCGGCTATGCGGTACAAAAGCACGCATCCTGCAAAATAGTACAAGCGCGATTTTATGGGTGGATTCCGCACGTTCCGGCTACAGTAATAGCTGCAAACGTGCAGAATCCACGTGTATGTTAACGTTTGCACGGTTTCGTTCCGCGCAGTTTTCCCTGAGGAAAACGCTACCGCTATGTGTGTATCTAGCCTAAAGCTAAAACTGGCAGAGTTTTGTATAAAGTCTTATCACAACTTTTCTCTCAAAGAGAAAAAATAAATATTCCAGCACCAATCACATCCTACTCTCCACTTCTCCTTTATAGCTATAAACTTGTATGCTCGGTCAATGACCAGCTGCTGTGTATGACATCTGTGGTTAAAAGTCAGTCTGGCCATAATGTTTGGCATCTTCAGACAGTCCTGCACAATCGCTGAAGAATAAAACGACTGGACATGTTCAAAAATCTTGTCCAATCCTTCCTATGTGTTTCTGGGAGTGTCTGCAGGGAGCGTCGCTGCCCCTCTTCACTGGCTAAACATGACACTTGCATTCCTGTTTGGGGAAAGAGCAATGACGTCAGACGTCTGATCATTCTCTAATGTCTATGGCCAGCTTTAGTCTAGCTGATTAACCTGTTACTATATATTATAAACAAAGGCTCATTTAAGTGAAGTACAAATTGTACAGAATTTGGGGGTATTCCCAGAAAAACAAGAAGAAAAAAAAAAAATCCATGAGTCAGAGCAGAACACAATGTGAGAGAAATGCCGGAGATCCCCAAATTCTGCCTTCTCGTAAGACTGCAGGCGGTCTAATCTAAGAGTCGGTGAAACAAGAACATGGCAAATAGACCATTTAACTGTTTTATAACTGGAAGCTGCTATATGTCAGCAAGAACTTTGTTCTCTACTAAAACATGCTTACAGCGCAGCCATGGAAAGAGAACAAACTAAAATAAAGCAACTGATGACAAGGTTGTATCAAATATACCAAAATAGCAGGGAATAAATAACTTAATAAAATCAGCAAGATTTATGACGTGTCTGAAAGAAGAACTTTTCAATGCGTTGAACTAGGAATGCACCAATACTAGTATCAGTGCAGAGTATTTGGGTGAGTACTCGTACTCACCCAAATACTCAGATGACTAGCCCGATACTTCCTGTA